GCGTCTGTGCGATGCTCCAGCTGCTCCTGGAGGATTGTGCAGGCGCTGTATGCGTCCTGCGCATGCGTGGAAGCGCAGAACTCATCAAAACTGGGTAAGGAACACGGGTGGGCGGGTGGGCCCTTCGCCATTCCCGGAAGTTACTTACTTCCAGGTTCGCCGACCAACCGGTTCGCAGGGACCGCCGCGAACCGGTTGAAACCCACCCCTGCCTCAGGGTCACCTGAGTAATTCTTCTGGTTCCTGAGGTATGCAATTTTTTCCTTTGGAAATCCATTCCTATTCCCACACCATTCCAAGGGTGTTCATCCCAAATTGTATAAAAGTCTGTAGAAATTCTCAGTCATCTAGGTCATGGTTGTCCCAAAGGTGCTTTTTCAGGAGGCAAGTGGACTTGCTTGTTTTTTCTCTGAATACATTTTGTTTCTCATCCAAGAAGTTGGTTCAGCTCTGACAAGATAGTAGATCTGAATGACTGAGAATCTCTACTTAGCTACACAATTTGGGATGAACACCCTATGAATGGTGTGGGAATAGGAATGAATTTCCAGAGAAAAATTGCAGACTACGGTACAGGAACCAGGAGCACCACTCAGGTGACCCTGAGGACACAGATAGAGCTCCAAGTGCTTCAACGACCTGCTAAAAGGATGCAAATTACCAGCTGCCTGAAAGGAATATAAATCTTCTCATTCCCCACTATCCTGTCAGAGCTGAAATAGCTTCTTGGATGAGAAGCGAAATGTCTTCAAAGAAAATCCAATTGTCTCCTGAAAAAGCACCTTTGGGATGGTCAGGATGACTGAGAATGTCTACAGAAAAGTTGCACAATTACATTTCCAAGTCCTTCTGCCAATTTCTCTTTTCTTTCTTTTTGATAGAGTGGGAGACAGAATATCAACATGAGAAGTGAAGAAACAGCTAAGCATTTGCTCTGTAGGACTAACCCAGGTCAATTGAGAGGACCATGGTGTCTGGTTTCCATGCAACCATCTAAACATGGCATTTGAATTTACACGAGCAGCATTGAATATTGGTGTCATTGCCCAAAATAAATTCTGAAGACTGAAACATTTCCTAAAAACAGTAACTTTTTCTTATTCTTT